AAACCATTAGTTGAGAGTTTTTCCTCAATAACTCTCTAATTAGTGCTTATTTATTGCGAGTAAGGAAGTTGTTGTACATGAGTTTTGGTATATGCTCTGCTCAATATGGGCCTAATAAGGCAGTAGTACCACAAGAATAGTAATTCTACCATAATAACACTTATTAACAAGACATGAAACTATAAGTATTAATTGTGTCTAAATAATTCAAAATTAGGTATTTATATGGGTAATTCTCTGAATCGGGCGCCTTTTGGGTCTTCGCATTTTTTAAGAAAATACCTTAAAATATTGCATTTTTTATCATAACATCTGGTAGAGGACTACTTAAACCTTTGAGAAAACACATTTTCCCACCTCAGGCATACAATCTCAATAATTACTAGGAGTTTCCTTCTTACAAAAAGTTGTTTGGAGTTCAACCCCGTCACAGCCAACTTGGAGTCTGTGTGAATATGATTCAAAAAGATATTCAAGTAATAATTATTGTTGAACCTTAATCATCAGAAGTCCCTTGTTTAGGATCACCTATGTTAAGTAGATTTTTTCTAGACCATTAGTAGACCATTTGGCTGCAAAAAGGGATCATTAGAACTAGGGATGCACCGAATATTCGGCCACCGAAAATTATCGGCCGAAAATGGTTAAAAAGGCCTTTTCGGCTTTCGGCCGAAAAAATATCATCGAATGTCAGAACAGGCTTACGTTGGTAACCTAACGTGTTGTTGTGATGACGTAATAAAGACGCGGCGACCATGCTGGATGCAATCGTACCTGGAGGGGAGAGAACAGATGGTGGAGGTAAACGGTACTCTGTCCCCCCCCCCTCCCAGTGAGCTGTGGTGTTCCACAAGGAAGCATATTAGGTCCGTTACTGTTCCTAATTTATGTAAATGACATGTCATCAGCATGTGACTGCAACTTGTTCCTGTTCGCGGACGACTCAGCCCTGCTGGTCTCTGACAGGAACAGGTTGCAGGTTGAAAAAACCCTCAGCTCCGAGCTCGGCAGAATCTGCACCTGGCTCGCCGATAATAAATTATAATTACACCTGGGTATAACAGAGTCCATTCTCTTCGGTTCGAAACATAATCTCAGCAAATCCGACGACTTCTCAGTTGCAGTGGGCGACATTATTGTCACAAGTAAAAAGGAAATTACATAGGATCTATTCTTGAGGCAAACCTCTCCTGTGACAAAATGGCATCCAATGTAATAAAAAAAGTCAATCAAAGAACTAGATTCCTATACCGGATCTCCTCTCTGGTAAACAAAAACACCCTGAAAACTCTGGCAGGAGCACTCATTCAAGGGTACTATGACTATGCTTGCACGTCATGGTACCATAGCACCTCCAAGGCGCTAAAAATAAAACTTCAAACATCGCAAAATAAACTGGTCAGACTACTGCTTGACCTTTCATCTAGAACCCACCTCACCTCTGCCCACTTTGACAACCTAGGATGGCTTAGAGTAGACGACAGAGTACAGCTACTTGCAATGGGCCTGGTCTACAAGATCCACTACACCCCTATGGTACCCATGTACATGTCAAAATTCTTCCCAAAGGTCAAGGAATACCATGATCATAACACCAGAGGGAGCTCCACAAATCATGTGAAACCCAGATTTGGCACAAAAAAGGGGGAATACACGTTTCGCAATTATGCCACATCAAGGTGGAACGCTCTTCCCACAACTGTAAAGGAAAATAAAACTATACTTACCTTCAAAACCTCTCTTAAAGAGCACCTTCGGGGGAGAGCATTGCAAAACTGGCCCCGGTAATGGTACAAATCTCAACCTGTCGTTCAATGGACAGCTTCCCCCCCCATCTATGTATATACTCGCATTTTAGACTCTGTTACTAACTGTATATCTGTAGACTTGGTATGTCTTAAATGTCCGGTTAGGATGTATTAGAACGAAATCTAAAATGAAAATTGTAAACAAGCAATCTGTATGTAAAAAACCACCTGTATGTAAATTGTAAATAAGCCATCTGTATGTCAAATATGTCTTATATGTCTTAAATGACATGATGAATTGGAAATGGGGGACCCTGATGTAAACAAGACGAAAGTCTTTCTCTGGTCTGCATCCCCTTAACAATTGTATGTTTTGAGCTGTACTGTACTGTACCCAATATACAAGCTGTTAATACACTTTTCAATCAATCAATCAAAACCATGCTCGCGGCTGGCTCACAGCCAACATGTCTGCCGCTTGGAGATACTTCACAATATCAGAGAAAGAGGCGCGGATTGCGATTTGCAAAACGTGTTCAGCTGACATTTCTCGAGGGGGTGTAACTGCAAAGACTTTCAGCACTTCGGGATTACTCCACCACTTGAAATCTAAACACCCTGACAAATATGCGAAGTATGATGAAATCACCAGCGCACAGAAAAAAAAAGTCCTTCCCAGCACCCCGACTCCTTCTGTGGCGGACCTTTTTGAAAAGGTTAAAAAGTTTCCCAGTGATGGTCCTAAGGCAAAGGGCAAAGGGCATTACTCGGAAGTTAATGGAATGCATCGCCATCAACCGTTTTCTGTCGTACAGGACGTTGGATTTCGTAGGCTTATTGAGCACATTGACCCACGTTATTCCTTGCCTAGCAGACGACACTTAGCAGACGTGTGCTTACCTGAACTGTACAATGTCGTTGCTAATCACATCCATGAGCTCTTGGCTACAGATATTACAGCCATCAGCTTCACGACAGACATATGGAGCTCAGACGTAAGCATCACCAGTATGCTCAGTCTAACTGCACAATGGATCGACAAGGATTTTAAACTGCAAAAGATTCTGCTGCATTCGCAAGAGTTTAGGGGGTCTCATACAGCACAATCCATCTCCTTGGCATTCGCCAATATGTTCGACACGTATGGCATATCGACCGACCTAAAGTGCACGCAATAGTCAGTGATAACGCAAGAAATATGACTAAAGCTATAGAAGAATGCAATCTGAGTGGAATACGCTGCATGGCCCACACTCTGCAATTAGCTGTGAACGAGGGAGTGTTGGCTCAACGCAGCGTAAAAGATCTGTTGGCCATAAGCAGAAAGATTGTTGGTCACTTCAAACATTCTCAACTGGCCTATTCTCGCATTGAGCCAATACAAGATGAGCTTGGAGTAACAACGAAACGGTTCCAACAAGATGTGAGTACACGGTGGAACCGTACTTATTATATGCTGGAAAGCCTCTTTGCTCAAAAGCGAACCTTGGCTACATACAGCGCAGATCATGATCTCCCCGCATCATTCACTCCAAACCAGTGGATCTTAATGGAGAACATTCTCTCCATTCTTGCCCCATTCGAACAGCTAACTAGAGAGATTAGCTCATCTGACGCATCGGTGGCAGACGTCATCCCTTTACATGCGGCTCTAAAGCGTCTTCTAAGGAAAGAGGTTGAAACGGACCGTGGAGTAAAAACTATGAAAAGTACACTCTTGGAGTCTGTCAACCAGGGCCGCCCCTGGCCAACTTGGGGCCCCAAGCGACATTGTGAGATGAGCCCCCCCCCCCCCCAACCGACAGGAGTGAACTTTTTTTTTTTGGAAACAAAGTAGGCTACTTTGCAAATATAATTCCTGTTTATTATTATTATCAACGGTTACTTTTGTATACAGTGAGGTAAATGGTAAATGTGCATGTATGTCGCTCAGTATGCGTTTACAGGTGAATTTTGCATTTCCTGCCAAATACTAGCCTCAAAAAGATAAAAACATAATTAAGGCAAATAAACTACTTCTACTAATAATAATAATCATAATCAATTCAATAATAAAAATACTATATTGTTTTATTATAATATAGTTGTAATATAGTCAAGACAAAACATGCTTATGACATGCTCAAAAACTGATATTTCTTAAATCTGTATTCAAACGTAGTTCCCTCTGTCAGCAATGTATCAACAACTACACACACATTTCTATCAGTGTTTCTCTGTGTTGTGGTTGACATGATGATGACTGTTAGCAGTTAAGGGGAGAGGCTGAGCATCACCATGAAATGTGCAAATTGACATAAAAATGAATAAAAGGGGAACAAATGCTCCATGTTTTTTAGGCTGTAAACTTTAACTGTTATGTAAGCCAAGTAGACAGACAGTATCACTCTTCCTCCTGTACATTAGCAGATAAAAGGCATAACATACTTGAATGAATGGTAAATAAAGAATACTGGAAATAACTGCATCTCCATTAGCCTATATGCTCTGCAGAGACTGCCTTCTTCATGTCGTGAATTGCAGCTGATGTTTTAAGATGGCAATTGGCAATTTGACTTATACAACATTCGTAAGTTGTACATTTGACTCATACAATAACCCACCTTCGAGTGATGCACTAGTTTCTTCATGTTTTGTTTTTTGCGCCGGACTGAAACTGTCTTTTCACCGACATCTCTTCACCTGCACTAGTGGCCGTATCAAAGCCGTGATTGGTCAGATGTCGATTCATTGCAACGGTGTCGGGTTACAGACGTGCTCCTCTTGTCACCTCTCACTCTCACGGCCCGTCCACACAGCGGCGTGCGTTGAAGCTTCCAACGCTTCTGCCTATTCACTTTGAATGGGGTGACGTCACTTTTAGCCGAACTGCATCGTGGGAAGCGACGCGGAGCGTTGCTGGCGTGGCTCGCTGCAAAAGTTGAGCAATGTTCAACTTTTGACGCCTCGGCAGAAGCATCAGCCAATCGAATCATATGCCAGTACAAGCTCTAGCCAATCAAACCGCTGCTTGTGTGTCAGGGGCGGGAGATTCATGTGATTGGTTGTTGGTCGAGTGTCAGACACGCCCACCGACAAGCGTCAACGCACGCCGCTGTGTGGACGGGCCGTCACTCTCGCGGGGGGTGCGCGGAGAACTGAACGGAGAACTGCGCACAGCAGCTGAGGCCCTCTGGGCGGGGCCCCCTGCGCAAGGCGGGGCCCCATGCAGCCTGCGTGATTGGCCTGTAGGGAGGGGCGGCCCTGCTGTCAACACACGTTTTGCTGATATCTACTCTGATCCCCTGTACTGTATCGCGACTGTACTTGACCCGCGATATAAAGACAATTATTTTGATGCGGGGAAAAAGCAAAGCGCACGAGACATGATCCAGGCTGTGTTGGATAAGGAGAACCCACGAGAGGAGGCTGCTGCGCACAGCACAGGAGACGTGACGCAGACCACAGAAAAAAGGGCTCGTCTGTCTACAGCAGAGGAGGAGAGGGGGCAACCACCCTCGTTGTCTGATATGTTCAACGAGATCATGGAAGAGAATACTACCCCAAATAGGTAGGCTACTCTGTTCTGACTTGGTTACTTACTGTACTATGTGCTACTGAATGTGATATTTATTAGTACTGTATGTGCTGCTATGTAATATGCTCTTAATGTTGTAATTTCTTTTGACATGTCAGATGATTTTATTTGTCTGCCAAGTGATCTGGCATGCGTAAATATATATTTGACTAAATGTTCATTATGCACTGTCCCTATTTTAAATACAATCTTATTCTCTCAAACCTTTCAAATGCCAGGCTGGTGACAAGCTCAACCGCTCAACAGTTAGATGATTATCTCTCAGAAGTACCCATCCCCAGAAGCGAGAACCCTCTTGGATACTGGAGAAACAAACAAGACCGCTTTCCTGACCTGGCCAAGGTGGCACGCAAGTATTTGAGTGCTCCATGCACAAGCACTGACAGCGAGAGACTGTTCAGCGCTGCCTCTCATGTGCTTGATGAGAAGAGGAACAGACTTATGGCTGATAAAGCAGAGAAGCTACTGTTCATTAAAAAGAACCTCCCACTTTTCCTTAATAAGTAGACAAGGCTGGCTTATCATAGGCTTATCATAAGCTTATCTAGTTCTACATGTCTACTCTATACCCACTTTCCTGAACAATTTTCATTGTGAGTTATAATTCACCATCTCAGGTTATCATTAGGGGGAAATGACAGCAGCACAGTGTTCAATATATTGTACTTTCGGTATCTAAATTATACAATGTTGTTTACATTGCTCATGAGGACAGACCACCTTATTTGCAGATTCTTGAAATTGTAATTTAATTTGTAATTGATTGTGGATTTTGTATCCAGTTTTCACTTTATGTATCTTTATACAATGTTTACTACTTTGTTTATGAGGCCTTATTTACAGATTCTTGAAATTCAATTGTAATTTCATTTGTAAATACTATAGTTACATTCATGTGGATTTATCCAGTTTGCACATTTATATGCATGCACTTATAGGTGCATTTGTTGTTGTTGAAGGCCTGGCTGTTACAGTCTTTATTTACACTATTTTGTTGTAGGCCTACTGGCCTAGATGTTTATGCAGTTTTAAAGCCCCTTGGCTTTGTTCTGAATGCACTTTGTTGTAGTTATCCTACAGAGAAAATAAATGTACTGTATGCATTCAAAAGTGCTGAATAAATGTTTTATGGACCCATAATAGTGATTATTATTTAAGTTAAGTTTTGCCATAATCATGTCTATTTCCATAATCAGGTAGCTGAACAACATTGGTAAAAAATGTATACATTATATATATATATATATATATATATATATTTCTATTAATCATTTTCGGCCTTTCGGCATTCGGTTTTCGGCCAACTGTTTCCTATTTTCGGTATCGGTTTCGGCAAAGAATTTCCCATTCGGTGCACCCCTAATTAGAACTTTATCCAACATCGGCCTTCAAATGTTATCAAAAATATGCATTCAACTTAGAATTTTGTTTAGGTTTCATATTTTGTCTGATTATCTTGTACACTGTAAACACAATACAACACTTCAAAGTTCATATTAAGTTCATATCACTAAAATATTAATACAAACCTATTAAATAACAGGGTTGAACTCAGCATGACAGGGTTGAATATGATAACAGGGTTGAAAGGACAACACATTTTTCTATATGGTATGGATTTATTTAGCTGAGCAATTAATGATTATGCATTCAATTCAATGGAAATTCAATTGAATTACAGCTGAACTATCAAAAACATTTGATACAACATGAAGTATTTAAAATCACATTTAAAAAACATCAAGCACAAATTCATCAAAAACATGAATGGAATGAATCAGTCCATATGGTCAGCAGTAACAACAATAACTAATAAAATGTATAATGTAAAATGTAACTAATTTTGATTGCTAATTTGGCTACTAATATTCAGTACATAACGTTGAACTCTGAATATTTGTTTGTGAAGTGTTGCTTCATCCTTTAATCAGAAAGCCTGGCCCACACTTCTTTCTCAATTTCCATGTGTCGTGATGTCACAGGCTTAAGGGGTGGGATGAGCTCAAGCACATCATCAAACATATACCACAGCACATCCTCACGAACAGGCCAAAAGAACCTGTTTGGTCCGACACGATGCATGCATTTGACTTGAACTTGTGTTTCATCCACGGCTAGGATTATTCCTGGATACAAATCCTTATCGTATGTGAGCACACACCATTGCCCCAGCACCTCTGTGTCTTCCCATTGGATTTGCGTTGGCCTCTGTGACACTGCCACTGGCACCTTCTTGAGAAAGCTGAAATGCTGTGTATTCCAACATTCACAGTGTAACTGCTTTTGGGTAGAGCACATACAGCTGACATCACGAGATACTATCTCTCCTCAGGGGCGGACTGGGGGGAAAAAGTGGCCCGGGGATTAATTGACAGACAGGCCTACTTAATGCGCGGCATGTATCGGCCGGCCGGCGACGAAAGTATGTAACTTAACAAAAAACCCTATGCATTATTATTTTGGACAATTATTCATATAGTAATCACATTACCTGAGCCCTTGAGTTGCCTAGAGAAAAATAGTTACGGCATATATTTAGTGATTTTAATGTTAACAGATCATTGATGCAATAACATTTTGACCCAATTTGCCTGATTTGACACATGGAATAAAACATGGGCGTAGGAAGCATCCTCAATGTGGGTGAGACAATTTAACAGGGGGTGTGGGCAGGTGGTGGACCTCACCTCCTCTAGGGGGGTCCGGGGGCAAGCTCCCCCGGGAAGATTTTTTTTTAAATGTTGAAGTTAAATGCATCAATCTGGTCCATTTTGAGAGCAACATTAGGGACTAAATCTATGGCAGTCAGTAGGGGCTTGGACTGTGAGCCGTAGGGTCGCCGGTTCAAGTCCCCGACCAGACCTATTTGGAGTGTGGACTTCTACTTGGAGAGGTCCCAGTTCACCTCCTGCCGTGGTGCCCTTGAGCAAGGCACCAGACATCCCCCTTCCCCCCTCACTCCCATTGCTCCGTGGGCGCTGTACAATAGCTGCCCACTGCTCCTAGTAGACTCCTGGTACTTGGATGGGTTAAAAGCAGAGAACACATTTCACTGTGTGTGCTGTGTGCCCATTAAAGAGGGTTTCATCCCTCCCAATTCTTCTTCTTCTTCTTCTTCTTCTTCTTCTTCACCCATATAAAACAGAACTGTAAACAGATTAACTTTTTCTTTCAACATTTATTTGAACAGCAAGTGGAGGCAAAAGTGACTGCACCCAAAACAATAAACCTGCTAGCTAACTAGCCTAAACTCAGTAACAGAATGTGGGCAACACGTTCTTCTCCACGGCCGTGCGACCTCTGAGTCAGACATCACTTCCCGCTTTTCTATCCTACGGGCCGTACAGCCACTCCCCCTGAACCCTGTTGTAACAACATAATAAACTTTTTGGGGATGCAGCTTGGGATGTGAGGACATGGCTTAGAAAGGGCGTGTCGCCTTCTGTCCTGCCAGTGTTGGCAGGACATTAATTAAAATGTCGAACTCGGACTTAATTTTAAGGACATTTCGGCCAGGGGTGTAGAGCTATATTTGTTTAAGCACCGGATTGGCAAAACAGGAGAGTGTGTGCACCAGTCTGCCTTGATCTATGTATTCATTTCTGTGACTCTCACAGTATCTAAAGGAAAACCTCCTTCACTTCATGAGGGTTAACTCAGCCTCTGAGAAGAGGAGCGCGCAGTGCCTTTCACGCACCACCTTCACTGTGTTTACCTTCAGAATCATTAGAAAGGCTAAAGAGCGGTGTGGCTGATGTGTTTTAACCACACACACACACACGATTTAAACGCAGACTTTTGTTCCTCCATGTTACGTTGTTATTGTTTCACTGAGCGGACCTGCACATTTTTTTCAAACGCTCCCCTTTTTGGTCCATCTGCGCGGTTTTGCGCGCTGTAATGATTCGGCTGTACCTTTAGTAATGAATATTAAATGTTGTGAGGAAATCTTTCCACCAATAATTCCAATAAGTAATCCAAAATGTATTCACTCCAGGTTTACGAAAGTAACTGTAATCAGATTACTCGTTTTTCAAATGTAACGCGAGCTGAATACAATTACTTGAATTTTGTATTCTGATTACGTAACGCCGTTACATGTATTCCGTTACAACCCAACCATGGCCACACCCCACTGGGATGGGCTGGGCCGGAACACTTACAAATGTGGGCCGGTAGGATTTAGGTAAGCAAAAAAAAAAAAGGGAGTGGCCGGAACACTTACAAATGTGGGCCGGTAGGATTGTCTCTCCTGGAGCGAGCGTTACCAGCTGATGGATTCGCATGGTTCCTGGGACTGCTGTTAGGTTTGATGGCATCCTCTCAAGTGCCTGCTCAACTGTTTCACTGTTGACAAAGAACAACTTAATCAATGTATTGGTCTCCAAAAGGGCATTGAAGAGCTCACGTGCATCTTTGATGTCCTGACCATGACTTATTAGCATGTCAGCAGTCCTCTTCAAGGCTGCACCAACACCATCTGGTGCTCCCTTACCATGGCTGGCCTCAAAGAAATTCCAAGTCCCTGCATTAAGGCCTCTTTTCCTCAGCTCAGTGCTAAAAAGAAAAAAATTGCCCTTCTGCTTGTACTGGGTACAAGGACCATCACTAAAAAAGTGAACCACAGAAACATCTGGGTATGTTGCCTGCACAAGATCCAGTACAGGGTTTCGATGCTCCCATATAGCTGCTGGGCTTTTGTGTTTTGATGGGGATATTGTGGTGAAACAGGTTGGTTCTTGGATGCCACCTACATAAAGAACCCCTGTATGAAGTGTTGCCTGCTGGTGGGATGATCCAAAGTGCACTGCTTGGATTTCCGAACTGTACTTGCAGGTAAAGTTCTCAGAAAAATCTACGTGAATTAGGCATTCATCAGTGGCCATGCTCTTCCTTAGCTCACGGTAGTAGGCATACTGCTGCCTAATATTAAAAGAATGCTTCTTGAACTTGCTCAGGAGTGTTTGGAACTGCTCAGCAAGTTGCTCCGGGTGCCCTCAACAATCTGTTTAACAGTTATCTTCACTGTTGGCCCCTCCTGGTCATTCATTGTTGCCTTATCTTCTGTCCCCCACTGAGTATAGGACACCCTTTCTGCACTGTCATATGTACTTGAGAGTGGAACTGTTTTGTCTCTGCAGTGTTCACACTCCCCATACATACACACATTTTAGTGAGTGCCTCAAGATTTGAGGTCTCAATCAACTTCAACTGACTAAGCTTTTCTGCCAGAAAGCTAAGATTCTCGTGCAGTTTGCACATGCACGTGTCACGGTCAGACAGGGACGGGTGCACAACCCAAAAGGGACGTTGGCGGCAAAATGCAGGGTATGAGATCCTCACATTGTTCTCTGCCAGAAATCTTCTGTGGAGGTTTCTTATTGTGTCTACAAGGAACCTTTTTTTGCATCTTTACCTTGTTTCTTGTAATGGTTTGTTTTCTTCCTGTAGTTATCCTGCTGACATCATCTCTTGTCAAGAAGGTCTTTACATTGTTCTCCATAGAGCATCTGCATACCTGTTGACAGGCTTTCTGGTAAATTTGCTTAGGCTATTAGTGTTCAAAAGGTTTCTGCGTTTTTTTTAAATCCCCAGTGCATGTTCTGACCATCTCTGCAGCCTATACTTTTTGACAATCTTTCCCACAGTAACCTTAGATATGATTTGCTTATCTCTTTCATTTCTGGTCTTTTGGTATTTTCTTTTGATGTCAGCAACAAGGGCTTCATGGAGAAGTAACGTTTTTCTGACCCTGCTATTCACACTACAATTCTTGACCAGTTCACGGACTTTGGATCTTGGAGATGTGTTGCTGATCGCTGGAACCTCTTTTTGTACTTTTCTTTAAGTTGTTCCTCCTTTCTCAGTGAATGTTTGAGTCAAACTACTAGCTTATTGGTTATGAACAAG